TAATCTTATTGAGAAAGAATTTTCTTTGCTTACTGTTTTTCAGACCACTTAGTTTTGGGTTTGATGGGGGAGTTGGGTGGGGAGGATATTATTCAAATCTTTGAGGAGAGCCCATCGATCATATCTGCCGTTTGTATTACCTGCTTATCGTTTTTCTCTTTTTCAGCAACGAAATTGTCTAATTTCGTCTTGAAATCTTGCCACTTCTGGATAATCTCCTGCACAGCTTGTCTAGCTGCCTTCATTGAAATAAGAGCTTAAATTAAATAATAGGAAAACAAATTACTTCGATTTTTTGTTCGTCTTCCTTCCGTTTCTCTTCCTTTCGCTTAGTGAAGAAGGCTTTCAGCTGTTCAGCCAATTCTTTGATTTCCTGCATATAGATTCAATTACATGACGATTTCATATTTGAATTCATGAGCACCTGCTCCTTTTCAGCCTTTTCATTTTGCTTTTTCGTTTTCACAGCATCTATCACCTGCTTAATCTCATCAGCCAATTCCGTGAATTGCTCCTTTTTTTGGGCATCTTCAGCTTCTTTAGCTGCTCGGAATTCCTTTGAATGGGATATGTTTTCGATTCTCTGAATACTTAACTACTCACATCAATGACAGACTTAATTTTCGTTCCCTCTTCCTTCAACTTAGTCTCGAAAGCTTCTAAGGTTGAATTCAAAGCTTGAATAGCTTGTTGCTTTTGCTGTTCATGTTGCTGTCTGCAGATTTCGGAGAATAATCTTATTGAGAAAGAATTTTCTTTGCTTACTGTTTTTCAGACCACTTAGTTTTGAGTTCCTCTCTTAGAGAAGCTTCAACATTCAAAACCTCCTATAATGGAAAAGAGGGAAAGATAGAGAACACATAATGTAATTATAGAAAAACCTGGAATAAATCGGTGATAGATTGATCTTCAACCGCAGAACTTTGTTGAATAGAAAATCCAACTGCTAATAAGGCGATTAACAAGGATAAAATCCTCATTCTGAAAATAGCTACATGAGAAGTTGTGCTCCTTGAGGAAAAATGACAATGATTATCGTAAATGTGATGCTGAGTCTGATAAGATAATAGAATAACATAAAGACAGTCCGTAATATAGAATATAATGAAAATACAGTGTTACATCTGCTACAGTCGAAAGGTATGTAATAGAAACAGGAAGGGAGGACAATTGATATGAATGAAATCCATAGTGAAAAAAACAACAAAAAATTCCATCTCTTATCAAGTTTGTGCTTGAAATCAATTAACCAAATAAGGATTCGAGTAATGGAGTAGACTATGAAAACCAGTTCGAATTGAAACTTCTTCATATTTGAAATTGCTCAGACTCAGCTGATGAGAGAGCACGACTGAATTACATAATGACAGTTAAGGATAAATCTTATGAAATCAAACACTTGTAATCATTTAAGGACTATTGTTATCACATGGTATGATTTGTACTGGAAACAACTGTTTATGCATTCTAATAGATCATATATGAAGAGCATGCTGATGTGCAAAGTAATGCTAAAAGAGAGAAAGAGAGCAAGATTTGATGGAAGGTCAAGTCGGTCGTGTGCACTAAGTGATCAGCAGTTTTCATAATAAGTTTCTATCTTATCTTTCATTCATATGATGTTTGAGCTTGAAGGTGCTAAGGAGAGAAAAAAACGTTCTTTTCCTTAATTTTGTTATCACTTTTTATATTTTGTGTGCGCATTTTGTGTCCATGTTATCAATGCGATCATAATAACAGCCACTGCTTCTTTCATGTTGAATCGTTGATGTGAAGCTGGTTGACCAGACGTTTCTGTCATTTTCGAGAACAACACAGATAATCACATTTATTTTGAATGAAAACAGAGGAACAGTCATTATGAAGCTTCCTTTGGAGAGACGATTAACATAATAGTTCTTTCTCTAAATAAGAAATACTAAACATCATACATTACTCACAATAATGCTTAATGTGATGATACAACTTATCACAAAGTACAATGTACTCGACTCAAACAACAAACAATCCAAATTATTCCTGATAATTTCATATTTATTCAAATGTTATTGCAAAAGTTTCCATATTTAGAAGTGGGGAGCTTCTTTGGTTGGATAGCCGCTGTTGTGATGGCCTCCGGTCAACAGTGTTCTTTCATTATCTCTTCCAACAACTCTTTCATAATCTTTTCTCTGTTTCATCTGTAAACCATTCTTTTTCCCAAAATGAAAATCAGCTGAACTGACCTGATAAATGGCTGCAACTACAAGAGCGATAGCCAACAGAATACAAACAGATAGGAGGATCCAAGTGACAGTTTGCCAAGAACTGGCCCCGGTGATTCTAAGAATACATGGAAATCTTATCTGTCACGTTGCCCAACACTTACTCATCTAAGAAAGTAGCCTTAACCTCCGCAACGACGGTAGCGGTCTCGAAAGTATCAGTACTCAACTTCTCATTGATCTTAGCCTGAACACCCTTCTGTAGTTTGTAGTTTCATTTGAATTCTTGCCTTGACTTCATCGATAGCGTGGTGAACAGTAGAGTTGATCTTGTTCTTGAGTTGACTGATGAATTCCTGCTCAGCAGCATCACGCTCAGCCTTCTTCTCATCCCATTTAACTTTGAAGTCAGCCAAATCTGCTTTTATCTTGTCCCAATGCTGAATTAAATGGATTATTCAAAACTGAGAAAACTTCCAGCTACAGCTTTGAATTCCTCTTGTTTCTCGGTTTTCTTAGTTTCCTTCTCTTGTTGGATCTTCTGAATGGTTTGTTCGACATATGGACGGACTTGCTCAACCAACTAAAACAAAAAGCGAACTTCCGCATCTTCAATTCCGTCTTACTTCTTCGAATTGCTTATTCTTTTCTTCCTCGCGTTGTTTGATTTCTGTAGCGAACTTGTCGACAAAAGAAACTAATTGTTGGAAGTTGGCCAGTTGTTCATTGACTTTCTCTTGTTTTTTCTCAGAAAGTTTTGTTCCGAGGTCCTAAATGAATTTCGAAATGAATAGGCCGAAGTAATTGGGATTACAGTCAGGAATCCTTTCGTTTCGGGGACAGCTCTCTCCTTCAGTTTTTCAGCCAAGAGTTTCAAATCCTATGATATCATGACTCACAAGATCATGATGGAACGCTTTACCTCGAAAGTATCTTCAATCTTTTCTTTGAATAAATCCTTCTTAGCATCTTGTTGCTTCTTGTAGGCCTCTAATTTCTCCTGATAAGTGTTGGGAATTATACTATAAAAGGAAGTATCAGGAACGGCGCAAGCTGATAGGAACAAACTTATCCCAGAAAGTGCTTTTGGCAGCTACAAGAGCGGTCAAGGAAATGAAGATGAGAAGTACTTTCATCTGTAAAGTGAGTTTAGAGAATGATGAGAATAGAAAAAAACAAGGAGAACTAAGAGAGAAACACGACCTATCATGTCATTCATTCTTATCGTCACTGATACTGTCCTGGGCACAGAGGACCTCATGATATCAATGGATGGTGCTTCTTTTGATTTCTTTTTTATAATCATGTAACCTTACTAAGAAAGATTAATTATTTATTGATATTAAGATAATACAAAAGATCTTAAATAGTGGCCATAAATGGTGAAGAGATACTTATAACATAACAACCTTCCATGTAAAACAAGAAACAAAGTTTTCGACTCAAACATTTCAATTTTGTCTGAGTTTTAGTAAGATTCAACAGAAGTTGGAAAGTGTGAAAGTAATACCTGCCTGTGTTGAGTAAAGCGGATCTTTCATGCCATATTAATCGTCATTATTCTCAGCAGAGGGAGCGGGTGAAGCTTCTTTATCAGAAGCGGGAGCACCCTCGGACGCTGGAGCATCATCAAGCTCTGGAGCATCATCTAGCTCAGGAGCATCTTCAACCTCTTCCTTATCTTCTTCAGGCTTGTCTTCCTCCACTTTATCTTCATTGGCATCAGCATGACTGCCAGGCATAGCCTTAACCACAGTACTTCCTCCGCCCATTTCTTCCCTCTTTGTATGAAGCTGATCCAAAGTCATCAGTTTATTCTGAAATAATCAAGAATGAGATTTATAAAACTCGATGTTGCTCAAACCTGTTCTCTGCGCCAATGAGGTGGTGTTGAGCTTCTGTCCATACGTGTGAAACGAAGTTGACCTCTTCCCTTAATTTTGACATCAGATCTCCGGACATCTCTGTCATTATCTTTATCTCTCCCAGAATGGCTCTTGTGATCCCTATCTCTATTACTGCTTCTTCTTGGACTTCTGGATCTTCCTCGTCGACTGCGATCACGATCACGGCTACGTTCTCTTTCACGACTACGGTCCCTGCTTCTACTGTTGTCACGGTGTCTGCGATCACGATCACGGTCCCGATCCCTGTTACGGTCACGGTCTCTATCACGATCACGATCACGATCACGATCACGGTCCCTGTCACGATCTCTGTCGCGTTCACGATCGCGATCACGGTCTCTTTCACGATCACGGTCTCTGTCGCGTTCCCTGTTTCTATCACGATAATCTCTGTTATCATTTTGCCGTCTTTTTCCTTCCGGAGTTTTTGATCTTCTCATTAGGAACGAATGTTGGTTAGAAGGCTCAGGTGGGAGATCTGATGCTTGAATAGTAGAAACCTAAAACTAAATATTAAAAACAGTCTATCTCGAAGGTTACCTGAATTTCATCGACAGCGTTGTTCTCTTTTTCGTCTTCGTCTTTCTTCTTGCTTCTTTTCTTATGAGATTTTTCATCTTCATCGGATGATGAGCTACTGAAATTATAAAATAAGATTCTTTTCATCAACCACAGTCTACCTGTCACTTTCACTTGAAGCTCTAACATTCTTCTTGCGGACTAACTCTCCGCTATTAATAATTATAACATCAGCTAGAGGTCTGCTTTTCGCGTCAACTTTGAGAAGTTCAACTTGAGTGACAACTTCTGAGCCAGAAACAACCTAAACAGAACAGTAATCTCTATAATGCTTGTATGGTACGATGGGATACCTTGCCGAAGACTACATGTTTGCCATTCAAGTGCGGGGCGGGTTTAGTAGTAATGAAAAATTGAGATCCGTTTGTATTAGGACCCTGAAAATTATCTTTACGCGGTCAGCACAAATAAATTTCTCACCTTATTAGCCATGGAAAGCAAAAAGGGTACATCGTGTCTTTCAGTGAAATCTTCATCATCGAACATTTCTCCGTATATGGACTCACCACCGGTTCCATTGCCATGAGTGAAATCACCACCCTGAAGAAAAGGTTAACAATCTATCTCTTATTTAATCGTACTTGAATCATGAAATCTTTGATGACTCTGTGGAAAGTTGAACCCTTGTACTGAAGTGGTTTTCCCGATTTCTTACTGTTTCCAGCTTTACCACTGCTTAGCTGGAGGAAGTTCTCACATGTTTTTGGAGCTAAAAAAAGATGTACTGATGGCATCAGAGAAGAAGCTCGAACCTAGTTCATCAAACAGCTCGAATACTATTCTGCCAGCGTCTCTGCCATCGATGGCAACATCAAAGAAGCAGCGTCGGCGATTTTTCGCCATTGAGACCTAATAAATATAAGAATTCGAAAACAAACATCTAGGGATCAAGTATACTCATGGTGAATGTACCAAAGACGGAGTAAAGAATCGCCACAATAATAATAATGTTTATTAAACCATGGCCGAGAACGGACATAAAGCCATGAAGAGAACAACCGCTGTTAACAAACGGAAAATCGCTTAACAGAAACTTCCGATATTTCCCCAACTAATAAGTTATAGAACTGTAAGCTCTCCCTCTTCTGCTTAAGCTGCAAACTCATCAGCTCCTTCTGCATCCTTTGTGTATTCGTCACAGAATCGGCGGAATTTAACAAGCAAGTCGTCAACTTTAACTTCGCCACGAACCTTTAAAAAGTATGTGACTTCTTCAAAATTTTTAAAAACATACGGCATTATCTCTTGTTCTAACATTGACAGTTCCGTTATCCTTCTCCTTTTGACCGAGAACGAGAATGAAATTGAATTGTGCAAGCTGGGCGTTTCTAATCTGCTTGTTCATGGTGTCGGCACATTCCTCATCGTATTCAACCTTCGATTCAACGTTATTCGGAAAATCAGTAAAAAAAATACCTCAAATCCAGCATTGAATAACTTATCACGAGTTTCGCGAGCATAATCTCTGATGCTCTCGTGAACCGTGATGATTTTCACTTGTCGAGGTGAGAGCCAGAATGGCCACTTTCCTCCGCAGGACTCGGTAAGGATTGCAGTCATTCTTTCAACTGAACCTAACACAGCACGATGAATCATGACAGGTCTATGTTTCTCTCCCTTCTCGCTGAATACTTGGTTTAATGAGATACTAATGCTTTCAACCTACTCAAAGTAAGTAAGATTGAATCTTTCTGGAAGCTGGAAGTCTAACTGAATAGTAGCGCATTGGTAGTTTCTCTTCAATGCATCTTGAATAGTGATATCAATCTGGAAGTTCGATTTATTTATTTCAAATACTCTAAGCTATACATACTTTAGGTCCATAGAAAGCACCATCTCCAGGGTTTAACTTCCATGGTCTTCCTGAAGCGTCAAGACTTTCCTTCAATCCCTCTTCAGCAGCATTCCAGGTCTACAATGGTTGAACTACGCTTCATGCATTCAAATACGAGCTCACCTCAATATCTCCTAGGAATGTTTCTGGTCTTGTAGACAAGTTAAGCTTGAAAGTGAAGCCAAATACAGTTTCATACACATATTGCAAGAAATCAATGCATTGATTGATTTCGTCCTTAATTTGGTCTTTGCGACAGAAAATATGAGCATCATCTTGCTGGAATCGACGAACACGAGTCAATCCGGTTAAAGCTCCAGACATTTCATTTCTGGATAATATGATGAGAAGAAAAAACAAACTTCAACAAACCTGTGTAAAACACCGAAATCAGCGAAACGGAAAGGAAGATCGTTATGGGTACGTGGTTGGTGATCGAACATTAAGCAATGTCCTGGACAGTTCATGGGTTTCAATCCGAAGGTTTCCTTCTCGATTTCAAACCTAAAGAATCAATTGAGTTCTAAACATACAGGAAACAAGTTACTTGAACATATCGTCAGAGTAGTGCTGCCAATGACCAGAAGTTTCCCACAGTTTACTGTTGTACATGTTGGGAGTGATGACCTACAGTATGCAATTATATATTGAATATCTGAAAGACTGTACCTCGGAAAATCCTCTCTTTCTGTATTGTTTCTTGATGAAGTTGACGAGTTGATTGTAAATATGGGCTCCCTTAGGATACCAGAAAGCAGATCCAGGGGATAGAGGGTTGAAGAAGAAGAGATCTTGTTCCTTTCCAATCTTTCTGTGATCACGTTTGGCAGCTTCTTCCTAAAAACAATTTTTATAGCAAAAGACTGTTCAAACTTTGGTTTACTTGAAGTTTCTGCCATTCCTTCAACTGCTTGCTGTCAGGGAAAGAAATTCCGTAAACTCTTTGTAAAGTCTCAGCTTCGCAGTTTCCCTCCCAATAAGATGAGGAGGACTTAGTGATAGCCAAAGCTTTGATTTTTCCAGTATGTCTAACGTGGGGTCCACGGCACAAGTCAATCAATGGACCACAACGATAAACAGTGGTAGTTGGAGTTTTGACTTTCTCATTAAGGATTCTGACCTGTAATGAAATATACATTAACCATCTAGTGTTTTCATTTAACCTTAAATTCATTGTATTTGAACATCTCCAAGAGGTTTTCCTTGGAAACTTCGAGACGTTCGAACTTTTGCTTGTCCTGTAGTATTACTTAGAGAAAATAATATATCCGGAGCAAACCTTCACGGCGCACTTTACGATCTCCTCGATCTTAGGAAAATCTTCTTGAGAAACGGTACGGTTCTAGAAAACACACATAGTTAATATATATTTAACAGAGTAATATCACAGATGAACAAATATAGCAATACATACCTCGTGCCACATATCGTAATAAAAACCTTCTTCGATAGGGGGTCCGTAACAGAGATGGCCACCGGAATATCTTTCCATAGCCTCACCCATAACGTGAGCAGAACTATGCCAGAAAACCTAACAACAATGATGAGACTACTTTTATTAGACATACTTGTTTGGCTTCATCATCATCAAACTTCAGAAGGTGAAGAGTGGCATCATTTTCGAAAGGACGATCGAGGTCCCAAACCTAAAAGTAAAAAACATAAAATATAAATTGCATCAAGAATTTACTAACCGCTCCATCAACTTTAGCGATGACAGCGTTCTCGGCTAGTCCCTTGGAGATCTTTTCGGCTATCTCAAAGGGGGTTGTTCTCCAGGACTCACCGTCAAATTGTTTACCATCGGGTAAGGTAATCTTGATAGGCTTGGTTTCCTAAAAGAAAATCAAAAATGAACTATAGCGCGCTGTTCTATCTACCTTATTAGCAATGTCTTGCTTGTATTGAACCATCAACTTGTCCCATAAATCCATTCGGTCTTGAATATATTGTGGCCATGGTTTCAGCTCAGTGTTGCATAAAGTAACCTAGAATTATTCAACGTATATATATACATAACTCAACAGTTTTTTACTTTTTCAGGTACGTTCTCTTTAGCCTCTACCATCTTGCTACAAAGGTATCTACCGTGTGGGGTAGGATGGATTAAACGAAGAGAGAGAAAATTGCGTATAAAACGCGTTTTGAACCCTTGTAGAGGTAAACCTGAAATTATTGATTAATATTTCAAAAAAAGATAATTTTCAAGACGCTTGTATGATTCAACGTAAAAAATAGAAATATCTATTCGGACGCATTTTTGACATTAGGCGTCACTACAAAAATGTGGCGTGGCTATTCGCTGCAAGAGCATTATATGTTCTCTTACGAAAAGTACGGAAGCTTATGGTCTTCACTTAAACCATATATATTCCACAATTGAATAAGCATGTTGGCTTCGTGAATTAATTGAGCTGAACTTCATGTAGTTATAGTTCGTTTGAATGAATTATTAAGTCTGACCACGATTGTTCAAAGAGATAACGAAAACATCTTAGGCAACTAGATGTTCCGGGATAAGATGAATCACTTGAGTGAGCAAATGGAAGTTTTGCTTTTCAAACGATATACCGAAACAACAGAATGATTGGGAATAGGCAACCCGGTATCTCTAAGTTGAGAGAGTATCAAAGTACGTTCACATTCATCAGGAATAGCTTAGCAACTGGAACATCTTAACCTGACTATGAAAACTTTCTTCCTCAAATTTTATAAAAATATATTATACGCGTATCAATTTTCACGTTAACATCACTATACACATAACTGATCTTTTAACTTAATTGAAACTCCAAATCGTTTCGCCAAGTTCACTCACAGTCTCTATCTTTGGTACTCTTCCGTTTTATCATCATTTCTCCTCCTTCAGTCCTACAGAAGACTGTTCAACGTTATTTACTTCTTCTAGTCACAGTTTACTTCTTGTTTTTCTTGTTTTTCGTGAGAAGAATTGCCTTTATTACAGTTATTATAGAAGTATGAGCTCTTACATAGGGTCGGCTATTTCAACCATACGATTCGTCAAAGACTACGCATTCAATCTTGGTGCTTATCTTTTGGCCAGTAGAGGTCACAAGTATGTTTTAATGTATCGATTGATTGTTATTCCTTGTTTTTCACAGATCTATGCCAACTCTTACTCCAATTGATTCCATTTCGGCTCTCAGTCCGCTAGTCATCCGTATTCTTGGACAAAACCCTGGCCCGTTCACTTTGCAAGGCACAAATACTTACCTAATCGGAAATGGAAAAAAGTACGTTCATCGGAATCACGTATATATCTATTCGTTTCGCAGAAGAATTCTAGTCGACACTGGCGAACCTAATATTTCTAAGTATATCTCTGAACTAAAGTCAGCTCTTGGGGTTTGTATAATAGACTCCATTTTCATCATTAGAAATCTTTAGGAAAATGAAATTGACTCAATTATAGTAACTCATTGGCACAACGATCACGTCGGTGGACTTCCTTCCGTTATCGAGAATGTCGTTGGGAAAAAAGTCGTGAATTTTTAATATAACTTGCGAACCTAACTTCCATAGGTGCCTGTTTACAAGTTCAGAAAAATTGGAGGAGAAGAGGATCCTGAGCATTTCACATATGTCGAAGATGGACAAGAAGTTAAAGTAGATGGAGCTACTGTTCGATTCGTCCACACTCCTGGACATACAATTGATCATGCTGCATTGTATCTCTTGGAAGAAAATGCTTTGTTCAGGTATTGAACCATGAATAATCATGCAAAGGTATATGTATCAGTGCTGATTGCATCCTGGGAGAAGGAACGACAGTCTTTGAAGACCTGCATGATTATATGTGCAGTTTGGATAAGATTAAAAGTTTCAAAGCTTCTCGGATTTACCCTGGTTTGCAATGAATATACCATTTGGTGTACTTTCGTATGTTCAGGACATGGCCCTGTCATCGAGAAGACTGAAGAGAAAGTTGATGAGTACATTGGACACAGAGTTAAACGAGAAAATGAAATTCTCAACGTTCTGACTGAACAAAAACAAATGACAAGTATGGACATTACAAACACAGTTTATCAGGTACTACATATCCCGTTAGTTCGAGTACTCGGGAAATTTACTTCAGGCATCCCCTTGGTCAGTCCGTCTTGCCGCACTTAATAACGTAAAGCTCGTTCTTAATAAGTTAATCAAAGACGAGAAAGTACAGAAAACAGGCTTCGAAATGTATAGAATTGTAGAATAAATAATAATAAATTTTAATAGATGTCCAAGCTGAAAGCCATTTTCCTTTGTTATGCAAACGTACGTTAGCACCACCGCTAACTAAACTATACACCAAAGAATGAAAATTCACGTTTCGAACTCTCGCACGTGGCCAAATGAGAATAAACAAAGTTTTTTTTCATTTTCCAACATCATCATCAGTTAGCGGCTGCTGGCACTTTTTCATTCCGCTCACTCAGGTTTAATCAGCGGTTGTGCAAACAGATATAATATGGATTAGGTTGTTGATATGCATAGATTACAACAATATGAATGAATTTGTTTCTTAAACTAATGGCATCGAAAACTGCTCAAACGCGCGCGTTGCGGTTCTTTACTGCGATCAATTTATTTCTTCTCTTATATACTTGCCCTATTTCATAAGCAGTTATTAAGTCGAAGTGTATTTTAAACTCGCAATGAGAAGTGTTTCCTTTTCTCTTTCAGTAGTTATTGCGTTCACAACAAAAAACAGTTTTGATGAGTCAATGTCATTCTAATGAGTACTCAAAGTTTGTCTTTCGATCAAAAGATTTTGAAAAGAACCGAATGTTCCGAGAAGTGACATCGAATATCTTTCGTATTTTGGCCACTATGAACTATTTTCCTTCCCAAACAGTCTCCAATCGAAGAAAAGTACATTCATCCAACACTACACGCAGGTTTACCAATACTCCAAAAACTACTTATTGTCTGTTTATCGTTATCTTTCTTAATCAAACTCGTACGTTCTTTTCATAATTCCATTGTTTATTTGCTATGTTTTTGGCTGACAAATATTTTTGTTCAATTTTAAACTAATTAAGTGAGTGTAATACTAATTGAAGATTGTGAAACGCAAATTATACTTTATACTGCATGAAGATCATGTTTTCTGCATATGCTCTCATAATTAACCTCCCAAATGCCTTTGTTGCTGTCGTATCTCTGCATTCATAAAATGAACTGGGAAGAGTCAGTTTAACCCTATGTCTGTCTTTCTCAGTTTGTCGTATTGCCCTATGTCTGCGTCTCGTTTCAGTATGAGCACTTTCTAGTTGGACTGCGCCTTCTTCTTCGCATACTCTCGTTCCCGTCGTTCTTCCTTCCATGTAACCTAAGGAGCGAGAATGACACGAGTATTCTAAGATTTAAGATTTAGTTGTTTTTGTATTATATTCTGCGCTTTTTTTCGCATATAAACTTCATGTATCTGAGAGATTTAGTTTAACTTTTCAAAACTTCTATCTGTTGCTTGTTTCCACCTTATTCACACCTTACTAGTCTTGCAGAATGATTCATCAAATTCGTAATTTCCATATTTCTAAAGTTTTTTTCTTCTCGTCCTTTTTCCAGTTTTTCTGAAACAAAAGCCTAAATGTGTCTCACTATTGATTCCTCGTCTTTATGTGTTGCTAAATCCCCTTGTGTTGTTCTTTTGATACTTGAGCTCTTGATAGAAGGAGCTTATGGCTTGCTGTAAACATTTTTCTAATGGAATTTGTTTCAGAATGGAGAAGTTTGCATAGGTGATTATATATACGTCAAGATTTTAATTTTTATATATCTCGTAACTAATTTTATCTGAAATGGAAACTGTAACAGCACTTGATGTGCCAGCTATGGAGCAGCCTCCAGCAAAACGGGCAAAAGATATAACTCAGGTAATGATCAACAACAGTTATGCAATTCATCTGTGTATCTAGGATCTCTTAACTAACACAACTGAAACATTAGACACATTATCATCTAACGCTAGTACAAGTCATGAGAGTAATGGATTAGAGCTCTTACAAATATTCAATTCAATGGTAGCGGGAGCTAGTTCGATTGCAAATCTCAAGAATAGTCCGAAACCTATCTCCACCAAGAAAAAGCCATCTGTAAGTTTCTTGTTAATCCTAATCTTTTACGATGAAGTCTTTGCTCTCTCACTCAATATGCCTAGTGCCAACTAATATGTAGGGCGCGATTCTTTTCATCCCTGGCTGATTCACTGAATTGTTGCTTTCGTTTTAATCGGAAAATCTCATTCTATTTATATAAATATATGAGTTGTGCTTGTTTGGCTCATGACCATATGTAGAATGATTCCGCCTATTGCTTCCATGAAGCAAATTTGATATTAAGCCTACCGTTTCTGATTGGATGCTAACGAAGGACAGGTGTAGATTAGGCTCGGGGTGGGAGGGATTATACGTTTTGCCATTCGCCTTTCGGCCCTTTGCTGGCTACACAACGAGCTTCATATCCCACTTATTTCATTCTATTTATCAGTTCGCTAGAATTATGATATTTTTCCAGATTCAAATTCAGATGGAAAAACAACAACTCAACTCTTTAAAAGAAGCTGCTAAGGTATCCTGGATTGATGATAAAAATGTAGATAAAACCTTGATTTCAGAAAAAAGCTTTCCTGAAAAAAGAAGAAATCAGGACGAGCGAAGAAGATTGTGAAAAACCTACCAAAATAGCTCCCATATACACTCATCCCTTACTTTCACCAGAACAAGCCGTAAATTCGTTGTACCATCTTGTAAGGAATTTAACTCTTCTTACTATGTTTACCGTATTCGTTTAGAATAGAGCACAGATAATACAATTCTCACTGCATGCGATTGACGCTATTAGTGGAGTTATAGAAGAGAAGATGGAACGACAGAAGTATCTGGATAAAAGACGGTTAGATTTGGCTCACATACTCATACGATTGGGCTTAGCCCACGGTTCCGAATCCGAAGTCATCCCAGATTCTTAGTTTCTATAACACCTTTCTTATTTAATTTATAATTACGGGGTAATCATTTGTATATAATTATTAATATCCTTATGTCTTTTAATTTGCGAATGCTTTCTGAGTGAAGGCCAGATTCGCCATTCTATGCCTTTGATTATGAATTTGGAATAAATTGGAATTTGACTTTGAAATATTTATTTCATTTGAAACATTTGTTAAAG